CTGGCAAGTACATTTCTCTGCAATCTGTGGCATATGCTTCTGATGTCAGCTGACATGAACTTTGTTCAGCCAAATGGTTTGTAAATATTGGTTCTGGTTTGGCAACAAGAGCGAACAAATCAGTATTTCTCCCTCATCCCGAGTTTATCCAAACAAACACAACAGTTTTGTATTTAAAAGCCTGGGCACTAATTGTTTCAGTTTCAAGTGTAGCCCCATCTGTCATGTGTGTTAATCATCCACAGAGCTATTTGCTTTGAGTGGCCACTGGCCATTAGAGGAAAACATCCTCTCAGCTTTCACCTTGCCTGATGTCCTGGGCAGGTGGGGATGGGGTGGGAGGTAGGGGGAGGATTAATTTCCCAAGCATGTGCAATTTCAGTGTTCCTGAAAGCAGAGTTGTTACCCAAGGACTGTCCTTAGTGTGGAAGAAATGAGCTGACACGGCAGGAACCCAGCCGCCCATCCTTCCTGTGACAGGCGCTGGTGTACTCTCTCACCTTGCTCTCAGTGGTCTCTCCCCCTCACTGTCAGCACAGGCCATCACTAGATTACCTGCAGAGCCTGGAGCTTTTAGCTTTAAACTTTCTGTGAGTTCTGCCCTCTGTGGGAAGAGGGTAAATAGCCTTCGCCCTGGGCTGAGCTACACATTCCAAATGCCCAGATATCCGTTAGGCCTGCTAGATTTTCTGAAATAAACATGCATGCTAATCAACCCACAGACCCTACAATAGGAACCCAAGTGCTGGCTCCTTAACTGAAGTAACTTCAGGACACTGTTTTCTGTGGAAGGCTTAATGGAATCAGCTGAACCTCGTTGCTTCTCCTTGGAATGTGTGTATTTTTGGATTAAGTTGAAAATTTTGGGTCATGGCCTGAGGTTGGGTGTTGTAAGCACCAGGCATCCAGGGAGTATTAAAAACTCAGGTAGGGTGCTAGACTTAGACTTTGCCTCACTTCCAGCTAGGCTGTGTCCTTGGGCAGTGTGTACAGACTGAGGTGACCGGCCACATGGAGGGCCTGTTGAGTATGTAGGCCAAACTTTTCTTTGTGGCAACTAGGGCTGGCATTTGACCTTTGCATCAACTCCCACTGTCTGTCTGCTGATGCTCTTCCTCTCTGAGCTCGGGAAAGCTTCCTGAGGTGACTGTGCTTATCTGCTCTTTGGGAGTCATTAGAGCATTAACCTTTGCATGCTATGTTTCCTAAGTGATCTTTCTTCCTTTCTGAGTGACTTTCCCCCGCTGTCCAGGAAAAAAAATCTCTTCTTCCCATACCTTAAGCTGCATCAAGATTAATTAATTGGGTGTTTGAGGGGATGCATACTTTTACAATTTACTGATGTAATTCTCTTTTACAATTTAAAGGTATGCGTGTCAAACTAAACTTCCATACGCATCCTAAGTCACCACTGTCCACAGAAATACAATGCAAGCCATAGCTGTGAGTAGTATGTGTAATTTGAAGCTAGCTGGTGGTTAGGGTCTAAAACTAATAGAAAGTGTGGATTATTTTTTATCATTTGAGAATTTCATACATGCACCTAATGTGTTTGAATCAAGACCGTCTCGTACCCATGCCCTCCTCTGTGCCTTCTGCTTTGTCAGTACCACATATTCCTGCCCAGTCTCATGTTTTGTCGTTTATGTTAAAAGCCAATGTGTCCCCTTAGTGGTGGCAGTATATGCCAAGGTGTAAGGCTATCTACTGGCCCGTCAGAGGCCAAAACCTTGAAGAGAGCCGACTCTCCCTCTTTCCCAGCAGTAGTTAATGGCCATAGCTCCTCAGCTAGATGTGGGGCTTTGTGACCACCTCCCTCACCCTATGCTGGGATTCTGTCAGCCTGGAGCTTGGGCATGTCTTGTGCATGTCATGCTTTGAGTTCAAATGTGCTGCTGTCCTGTTGGTCCAGAAGACAGTATTGTTCTTGTCATCTGCTGCCGTTGCTTCTTACAGTCTTTTCTCCTCTGTGATGATCTCTGAACCTTGGAAGATTGTGTGTGTGTGTGTGTGTGTGTGTGTGTGTGTGTGTGTATGTGTGTGTGTGTATGTGTGTGTGTGTGTATGTGTGTGTGTGTGTATGTGTGTATGTGTGTGTGTGTCCATTCCTTCCACTTCTCACAATACCTGCTGCTCTCTCCTCGATGCTCCTTACCCAACATGTGCATTACCTTTATTGTCCTCAATGCCACTCGGGGCCGAGGCTAATAACTCAGGCTGTACTTCCTTTCTAGTATTAATATCTTCCCTGGGTATTTTCCGGTCACTTCAGGTTTTTGTTTCTGCAGTTTGCACCATGCATTGCCCATATGTTTGATACTGGAAGATGAACTGCCAACTCTCAGTGGTTAGGTTAGGGGGCTTTATTGTTAGGAGTGCTGAAGGAGAGAGAATAGGCTCAGATGAAGGGCCAGTTGAGGTTCCTGGCCATTATTTTTTAAAGTTGTTGTTGGTTGGTTTTCTGTTAGTAGTTTTTTTTTGAGCATTTGTAGGTTCATAGCAAAACTACACAGTAGACAGAGATTTCTATATAGCCACCCACAAAGATAGACTTCAACATGCTTCGCCTTCTCATATGTGTAAACTTCCCCACCTGTATATCTTGACCACATACTTAGCAACCCCACATGTATAGCCTCCCAGCCTGAATACCACCCTTTTTAGAAAGTTCTCTGTCAAGGTGGCACATTTGTTACAATCTGTGTACTTAAATTGACACGATATTATCACTTAAACCCCTGTATCTCTGTTTATACAGAGTAGGTGTACTGTCTGCACAATGCTTGTGTCCTGATGAACCATTTTATATATATATTGTGCGTGCGTGCGTGTGTGTGTGTATGTGTGTATGTATGTGTGTATGTGTGTATGTATGTATGTATGTGGTGTGTATGTGATGTGTATGTGCACAATGTATCTGCATGCACATGTGTGCACATGGCTGAAACTCACATGTCAACATTGGCAGTTAGTTTTTAAGATAGGATCTCTCACTGAACCCAGGCTCACCAGTTGGCTAGAGTAGCTGGCTAGTAAGTTCCAGGAATCCTCCTGTCTCTTCCCTCTCCCTTGAGTACCAGAGTTTCAGACATGCACCAACATGCCCAGGTCTTAATTTGGATTTTAGTGATCTGAACTTAGGTCCATAGGCTTGGGAGGCAGGGACTTTCCTGATTGACCAATCTCCCTGAGCTCCAATAAAACAGCTTTCTTGATTCATATTTGTGCTGGGAATCTCAGTGTTATTTCCTTCATCATTATCTTTGTGTGATTAAGAGTTTAACTGCTGATGGTTTTTCTGTGTGGCTCTTTTACAGGAAGTCAGAGTGAAACTCTTGTTATCTGAAACATGGCAGGAGGCATCTGCTGAATTAAATGTTGTCATTAAGAATTTCCCTGTGCTCCCATATGCACAGTACTTTCAAAGACCTAAAGTTGAATGTGGGAGTTTAACTTTGAAAGTACATCTCTGTTTTAACCCTCATACACCTAAGGCTCAGGAACAGTGCAGAGGAGGGGGCAGAAAGATCTTAAGAGCCAGAGGATCAGGGAGTTTGCTGTGAGATTGTCATCTAGCAACATCAGAAGCTATACCCATAAGGTCTCACCAGCATGCCCACCAAAATGTGAGCTGAACAGGGATAGCACCAGTGAGCATGCCAGACTGGCAAGGAAAAGTCCACAGGACCTCAGCTGTACACAAAGAACTATAGGCAACCAAGAAAAGCTGGGAGTAGGAGAGGTAGTTCCCCCAGCCCCACCCCCTTGAAAGAGCATACACATTGGTTGGTTATTCAATACTAAACAATCAGCCCTAAAAACATATATACAGATAACATGGTTATTCTTAGGAACACACACACACACACACACACACACACACACACACACATGCTTGCAGTAACAGTAAATAAGAAAATGAATTTGAAGGGGAATGGGGAGAAGAATATGGGGATGGTTAGAAGGAGGAAGAGATTATAATTAATTAAATTATTCCCCTCCCCCACCCCAAAAAAAAGAATGAAGAAACTGAGGATCAAGGGGATGAATAACAACTGTAAGATTACACACCACTCACTGACAGTTGGGAGTAGGAAGCAGAGCACACTGGGTTTTGTATGTTTACTACATGGGTGAGAGCGTCAGAATATACTTAGGCTGAAATAAAGCTGCAGATCATTATTTAATTTTCCCAGTTTTATCTATAAGACCTGAAAGATTTTTGTACCTGTACAAAATACTCATAAGGTTTGAAATGCTGTGTTGGAGATACATAGAATACTTATCAGCTCTAAGGCTTTTAGTTTCTTGTGTTAAATACCAGATGAGTTCTTGACATCACCGTTTCTTGTTGATAATGCTTTAGAAGGGCCTGTATACCTGCTTTGGATGTATAAAGATAGATGTCGTTGGGATCCTAGCTTTTCTGTCAGTCAAAGGGTCTGATGCACGGGACTGGGAGCAAAGGTATAGACCTCATTCTGTACACAAGCTACACTGGCACCTAGTAGGCTGCTGGCAAAAGGAGCTGTATCCTTTCCATGTAGGGACTACTTTTAGGATGACTCCTTTGTGAGTTCTTATAGCAGTCCTAATGTAAAGCATTGAGGTGGCGAACCATTCTAATTGGCTAATTGCTGGAGTCAGCATTGTGATGAATCCCCCGCTAGCATTCTGAAGGGAGGTGTTCCTCAGCTGCACAGTTGTAGTCTCTTCACCAGAAAGGTAAGGAACGGTCTGTGCTGGACTTGTGCAATGCGACAGTCAGTGGTTTCATTACTAGTAGGATTCTCATAATAGATTCAGTGTGTCCCATGATCAGAGAAAAAAAAATTAAAAGCCTTATTTGAAGTGGTTCAATAGAGTCTAATTTTACAAACCTGGATATTTATTGACTAGCTAGACTGTATCTACTAAAGCCAACGAATCACTCTAAAATATGGTCATGTAGAAGGAGAGATTGCCTTAATTTCATGTTTGTAACGTGGTTTTTCTTACAGTGTGTGAACTTAAGTCTCCCTCTATGAGTGATTTCCTATGGGGACTCGAGAACTCAGGCTGGCTAAGGCACATCAAAGCCATCATGGATGCAGGGATCTTCATTGCAAAGGTTTGTGAAGGCACAGAAAAAGAGTTATGGGATTAGACACGAAGCTAGTGTAATCTCAGCACGGTCTGTCCTCTTCCTTTGGCTTTCCTGTATTCACGCATGGGTAGCAGGCTTTGCTGACCTCATGTGGTGAACGTGATTTTGTGAAAGAGTGCAGTGGGCAAATAACTGTGTTAACACAGTGGTCAAATGCTAAAATATTTCCAGAATATTCTCTTTCAGCAGATTTAATCCTGAATAAAGGAAAGAATTTTCTATAGGAGACTGTATAACTCCATGGGAGTCACCTCAGTGATAGGGGCTTAGCTTATATTCAGTAGATCGTGCTTTGCAGTCATGACTTAAGGAAAAGCTAACAGATTCCATTCTACCATTGGAAGGATCTTGCTAGAACTTAAATGTAAACTTTTTTTAAATATAAAATGTTTTTATATAAAATGTTTAATAATTTTGTTATGATATTGGATGTTTTCTGTAAATCCTTAGATTTCTGTCATAAGAGCCCCATGCTGTTGATGGTGATGCCACTTTTTAGCTACTCATCCTTGTGTAGTGCCCGGCATTGTGTTGTGGATGTGGTAGTAAGCAGGATGAAGTCAAGTGTCTTACAGAAGTCACGCACATAAACAAAAGTATAATTTCAGATACTGATAAATGGTATAGTTAGTGATAAATAATCACTGTATTTCCCAGTGCAAGACAGCAAAAGACGCATATATGTGAAAACAGATAGAAATTCTTTCATTCAGTTCCTGATATAATCTTTGCCTTTTCTTCTTCCTCTGAACATATTACTTGGGCCTTTTCTTTTTATCTGTAACTTCATAATTTGATAAATTAGAATTTATGTACCTCTCCTTTTTAGAAAAGGCCTGTAGCAACCCTAGGATTTCAGTAAGGCATAACTTGTGTTGCAGGTGAGCTGGGGACAGGTCATGAAGGTGTGTTGCATAGTGCAAATACTTGTATTCAGTACATTTGTTGATTCATGGTGTTTTGAATGTGGGCTTTTATATGTAATGAGAAAAGGGAGGAAGGGAGGAATGAAGGAAGGAAGGAAGGGAGCGAGGGAGGGAGGGAGGGAGGGAGGGAGGGAGGACGGACAGGCAGGCAAGCTGTGGCTGCTAGTTTTAAGAAAGCTGGGCCCAAGTGTTAATTCTGAGTTCCCTTAGTCTCTAGCCAAACCTAATAGTCACAGTGACTCTGTCATTTCAGGCAGTTTCAGAGGAAGGAGCAAGTGTGCTTGTCCACTGTTCTGACGGCTGGGACAGAACGGCCCAGGTATGTTCGGTGGCAAGCCTGCTGCTGGACCCTTACTACCGGACTCTGAAAGGATTCATGGTGAGTCTGGCGAGAACCTTCCTGAGAGAGGCAGAGCCTTGATCAGCAGTGCACTTCATTTTTAGAATCTTGTGATTTTTTTTTTTTCCTAAGCAGCAGCATTCTTTTTTTTTAGTACATCAGCAAGGTTGAGTAAAGGGGAGAAACTGAAATAGGCTTGAAATACATTAATATTGAGGATGTTAAAACTAGCTTACTTCAATGCTCCTAGGTGTGAATTTAGGAGCAATTTAAAATATACTTAAAAAATTTGGAAAATAATGATTTGTATACATAATTTGCTCATAAGTATCTCAAGTTGGGGCAGTATATGACTATGTCAACAGAAAACATGAGAAAACACATTTGGAAAAAAGTCATTATTGTACATACAAATAGTTCTTGGGAGATAAAAAAGAGACAACATTCACTCCCAAGTTCCTATTTTTTAAGTGGTCCTTGACAGAACTGGATGATAATATTGAATTTCACTGTTTTCTATCTTTGCTGGAATTGGGAACACATCCTGAGAGCTGGAACTTTTTGGGTGTCCCTCACAATTTGACTTTGACTTCAGCCGCAGTAGTCTGGGATGTGATGTTATAGGTGAGCTGGCAGAATCCCTTCAAATGACTGTAGGGGCTTCTGGTGACTAGGTGACCTGGTACCTGCCTCTTGACTATAACTAGATAGAACGTACTTTTGGTGGATCCTGAATCTGCTAGGGACAGAGGCTGACAGGACCTCCACAAAAACAAACAAACAAACCCAAACATCTGTATCACTGGACCCGTTCTGTGAGTTATGTCAGCTGTTACCCTGGGGACAAGGCAGAAGAGGCAGGCCACTTCTTCAGAACATACTACTTTAGACAACTGAGATCCTGAGCAGACCAGATGCCTTTGTTTAGTTGAGAGCGTCCCGGTTCCTATGTACATACTGCCATGAGTCTTTTTCTTTCCTACACAAGAATCTTCCCACATTAGGCCATCACATTTATAGAAGACAGTTAGAGATGTCAAGGGCAGATATCAGTTCTAAGGAGTGATATTAATGTAATTATTCCATATTATTTCATTGACCATTTGTTAAAAAGGAAATGGCATTCCATGTTGGTTAACAGATGAGGTTAAGAATAGGGAGAATAGGAGATGAAGTACTCCCTGAGACCCGATCTTTGGAGAACATTTCATCTGTATTCTCCTCCTCTAGAATGATGGGTAATAATGGCTGTCAGTGCATCAAGATGACAACAAGCATGGTGCCTTTAAATTCTCATATAGAAGGCCTTCATTCTGGATACATTCTGGATAACGTGATTCTTTTAAGATTGATTTACTATTGTTTTATGTAAGAGGTTTTGCTTGCAAGTATGAATGTGTGCAACATGTGCATGTGGACCTGGAGTGATGGGTAGTTGTGAGGAGCCATGTGGGTGCCAGGGCCTGAAACTGTCCTCTGAAGAGCATCAAGTGCTCTTACACTAATGAAGCCTCTCTTGTTGGGTAGCATATTCTCAGTCATGTGGGAGTTTCCTCTATTCCCAGTAACTCGGTCCTTTTTTTATTAGTTTGCTTCTCTTATATTTCCCTTAGAAGTTGCCATGATATTTTATTCGTTTTTGTATGTGTAGGTATTAATTGAAAAGGACTGGATTTCCTTCGGACATAAATTTAATCATAGGTAAGCAACATTTTTTATTGAAAATATTTATTTTTAATATACTATATCCTCATTACATTTTCCCTCTCTACTCTTCCCAGTTCCTCCCCACACTCTCCCATAGGTATCTAGCCCCATTCTACCTTTCATTAGAAAACAAACAGGTATCTAAGGGACGATAATAAAATAGGAGAAAATAAAACAAAAAATAAACACATTGAAATAGGACAAAACATACAAATAAAAGAGCCTAAGAAAATGTGTAAGAAATAGATATAGACATAGAGACTTAACTTGTTTGCACACTCAAGAATCTGTAAAAACACAAAACCAGAAGCTATAATATATATAAACCTGTATGATAAAAAACAATAAACGATAAAAAAAAAAAAAAAAACGAAAAGGCCCTGACATGACATTAAGAGACAGTGGCCTCCAAAGATGCAGCCATTTGTTTTCTGTTGGTCATCTACTGCTGGACATTCAGTGTGCCCTTGTGTGCCCTTAAGAATAGTTTGTTTCCCTAATGAGATTCCTTTGGATGAAACTTAGATTTCCATTTGCAGGTAGTCATCAGTTGGAGATAACTGGTGGATTAGGGATGGAACATGCACCCACTTCTTTTAGCTCTAGGGTCCCCCAGGCTGCCTCAGTTTCAGTACATTCATATGACCCCATATTGGTTTAGAGGGTCTTGTTTTCCTGCTGTCCTTCCTCCAAACCCTCTAGTTCTTACACTCTTTCTGCCTCTTCTTCTGCAGGACACATAACATTTAGGGCTGAGTGTTCTAAGGTCTCCCTCTCTGCATATTGTCTGGCTGTGGGTCTTTGCATTTTTTGCTGTCTCTGCTGCAGAAGAGAGCTTTTCTGATGATGGCTGAGCAAGTACTAATCTATAAGTACAATAGAATGCCATTGTGTGTTATTTTATTGAAGTTCTTTTAGTAGAACAGTAGTATTTGGTTTTATCCTAGGTTCCTGGGCTATCTGGTCTCAGGATCGTGGTTACCCAAGCAGTATTCAGTGTGGGTTCCATCTCATGGAGTGGGCCTTAAGTCACATCAGATGCTGGTTGGTTACTCCTACAAGTTTTGTGCCACCATTGCACCAGCATTATCTTGCAAGTAGGACAGCATTGTAAATCAAATGGCTTATAGCTGGCTTGGTGTTTGTTTCTCTAAGAGTACCTTCCTGTACTGAAGTCACTAGGGTGTAGGCACCAGTCTATCTTTGTAAGATTTTGTTGTGATAATGTAGATTTGCTGTTCTGGCATTACTTATTCCTTGTGCTTTTTGGGTATGGCTTTCTTCTTTAGATAGAAGTTTTCCTTCTAGTGCTTTCTGTAGGACAGGATTTGTAGATACTTCTAGATAAGTTTTTTTTTTTTTTAATGTCTTTTTTCCTACCTATTTTGATCGAAAGTTTTGCTGGGTATAGTTGTGTGGGCTGGCATTTGTGGTGTCTTAGGGTTTATAGAACATTGGTCCAGACCATCTGTTTTTTAAAATTCCCATTGAGAAGTCAGGTGTTATACTAATAGGTATGCCTTGATGTTACTGGGTCTCTTTCCCTTGCAGCTCTTAATATTCTTCTGTTGTTGTTGTTCTGTGTGTTTAGTGTTGTATTATGTGCCATGGGGAATTAATTACCTTTTTAGTCCATGCTATTTTGTATTCTGTATGCTTTCTGTACATTGATAGGCTCCTCCTGCAAAATAGGAGCATATTCTTTTATGCTTTAGTTGAAAATATTTTTTGTGATGTTTTGTGCTAGGATTGTTTTAGATATAACATTTTCTTGGATCAAAGTATCCATTTCTTCTGTCTTGTCTTCAATGCCTGAGATTTTTTTTTTTTCTATTTCCGTTTCTCTTGGTAAAGCTAGCCTCTGCTTGAGCTCTAGACAGTTTCCCTGTATAGCCCTGGCTGTCCTGGAACTTAACTCTGCAGACCAAACTGGCCTCAAACTCAGAGATCCACCTCCCTTTGCTTCCTAACTGCTGTGATTAAAGATGTGTCTCACCACCACCTAGCCCCAAAGTTTTTCATTTCCAGATCCACTTCCTAGCTCCAGTTGTTTTGTTCATTTCTTCCCACTGTTGGTGATTTAACAGATCTAAGGGATTTATTTGCTTCTTTAAAGATTTCTATCCTATTCATAAAGGATATTTTAAGGTCTTTTCCTTGTGCTTCAGCTATGTTGAAATACTAAGGGCCTGCTGTGATACGATTGCTGGTCTCTAGGGGAGATATACCATTTGACTGTTACTGTTTTTATACTGGTGTCTAGGTTTCTGAGTTTAGAATGATTGTAATTCTATGTGCTGACACTGGGAATTGTCTTTGTTTGGTGGATATTTTGTTCCTTGGTTTCTGTTGTCTTCTTTAGTTCTTAGGAAAGTGTTGTGGCTGTGGGTTGCTTGGTAGAGAGTGCTTGTACAAGTCTATGGGTGGCAGAAAGGATTGAACTGGGTAGGGTAAAAGGTTGAAAGGGGCTTCAGAAAAGAGCTAAGGGGATCCTAGGCATACCTAGAAGCAGAGTCCACAGTGAATAGGTGTGATCAAGAGATTAGATCTTAGAAGTGTTAAAGGAGAGGAGGTCCTAATGGAGGACAGGAAGAGGAATATGAGTTACTTACCAAAGACCCTGCCACGGCCACTGGGGGTCTCAAGTAGAGAGTGCTTTCAGGTATCAGGGGCTGACACAGAGGAATGGGAATTGTCATGAGACACAAAGGGAGGGAGGGCTGGGATGTCTACAGGAAAGAGGAAAGCTGGTTCCACAGAAAGGTAAGTGAGATGGGAAGAGGGGCACCTTCAAGCAGGCTGGTACAGGGCTGGGGATGAGACCCAGGATTATTTCTGGTAAACCAGTGTCATTCACTGGTAGTCTCAATAGAGAAATGTGAGTAGGAACGCGGCAGTGTAGGATCTGTGGTCACCTCTGCTGAAGGAATGGTCTTTACAGCTAGTAACACAAATGTTAAGAACCTAAAAGTCCTTTATCCAGGAAAAGTTTTCTGTCACAAATATTCTCTTCTCTATCCAGACTTCTATTACAATCTTTATCTTCCAATTAGAATTTTAAAGTTTATTTTTTTATTTCATTCTAAGGTTTTATGATTTTCTTAGGGATTAAAGTTGCTTTTATGATAATCTTTGCATTTATAGCTTTCTAATTAAAACAAAAAGCTCCTATGTTATAAAGTCTAGAGTACTTTGTTTTATAGATATGGCAACTTAGATGGTGACCCTAAAGAAATCTCTCCAGTGATCGACCAGTTCATTGAGTGCGTCTGGCAGTTAATGGAACAGTTCCCTTGCGCCTTTGAGTTCAACGAGAGGTTTCTGATTCACATTCAACATCATGTTTACTCCTGCCAGTTTGGAAACTTCCTATGTAATAGCCAGAAGGAGAGACGAGAACTCAAGTAAGTTATGGTGTCCAATTTTTAGTGATTTTGGCAACTTGGAGTTTCATATAGATTTTCATAATTCTGAGCACTACTGAGTTACAAAATTATTTTACATTCTTTTCGTGTTCCTGACATCATTTCATAAGTGGTTTAAATGGTACTTACCAGATCACAAAAATATGTAGTCACTTTTTCCTGTGATTTCTGTCTGAATCAGATAGGGGACTTGACACTAACAAAGGAAACTTCAGGAATTAAAGAAATTAATTTTGTCTTTAAAAAAATTAGACATTTGATAGAGATAATAAAAACTTCAAGTTAAGCCAGGCGGTGGTGGCGCACGCCTTTAATCCCAGCACTTGGGAGGCAGAGGCAGGCGGATTTCTGAGTTAGAGGCCAGCCTGGTCTACGGAGTGAGTTCCAGGAGAGCCAGGGCTACACAGAGAAATCCTGTCTCCAAAAACCAAAAAAAAAAAAAAAAAAAAAAAACCTTCAAGTTAAATGGAAAAGCATATTTGCAACTGAGGGCATTAGGTTTTTAGTTTGATTTTTTAAAATTGAGTATATTCAGTGTATATAGCAGTTGATGAGTTTGATTATAAAGATATTTTCATTCAAGTAGATCCTATATAGTGCCTTTTACTCCCTCCAAACCCCCAATTTACTTGAGATTAGAGTGTCACAGTATAGCCTATAGTATAGAAAACAAGAACTCATGTCTTGGAACTCATGATTTTTGTACCCAAGTACCACCACAACTGACACCTCCAGCCGGGTTAGACGAAAACTGTGTTGCATTAGTCAAGACTAATAGTATCTGAAATGAGGACTCTCTCATAATGTTGTAAATTAAGACGATTTAAGAAGTGCAAGTCAAAGAACTTTTTGAGGCACTTATGGCATGAAAATGGTTTTAACTATACTGTGTTGTGTATGACCTCCAGTTTAATTGTGTAAAAAATGAGTTCAAATCAAATAAATTTCAGTAGGTTCGTGCCATCTGGAGTGGAATAGAAAATGACTTTTTCTGGTGGCTGCTGATTTGTTCTCTCCATGAAATATCAAGTATGATTTCTACACAGTCCATGCTTGTTCAGAGTGGTTCCTGTATACACATGGGGACCTAAGATCAATCCCCAGAACTCACACTTAAAAAAAAACACTGGGTGTGTAGCAGCATGCTTATCAATGATTTATTATATTTGGGTGTATGTTTTGCCTGAAAGTGCACTGCACACATCTCTGATACATGCAGAGGTCAAGAGTGGGTACTGGATCCCCCGTTACTGAAGTTACAGGAGGTATGCCACCATGTGGGTACTAGGAACCGAACTTGAGTCCTCTGAAAGAACTGCTTAGCCAACCATCTCTCTGGTCTGGTTGCTGTCCTTATAATCCCTGTGCTGGGGAAGTAGACACAGATCCTTTTAGATCTCTCAGTTCACTGAGAGATCCTTACTCAAAAAACAAGTGGTATTTGGGAGATGGATCAGTAGTTAATGTTCGCCACAAACAGGATGACTGGAGTTTTGGATCCCAGAACTAATGTAATACAGTTACCCCAGAGCAGCTGGCTAGTGAACTGTGAGGTGGGGGTTTGAAAGGGCCCCCACCTGAGTGAGTAAAGTAGACCAGGTAAGGATGACTCGACATCAACTACAAGCCTTCACTTGTACATGCATGCATGTACAAGTACATGCATTCATGTACAGTGCACCCACACACATCTGCCCATACACATGCATGCCCACACAACCTCCCGCTTCCTTCATACACACTGCAAATGGCAAAAGGAGAAAGGGTTCACAGTTCCTGAAGGAGGACTCCTGAGGTTGAATGCTAGCCTCTGATGATACCACAGCATACACGAGTAAAATGTGCACATAGGATAGTTTGTGGTCTGTTGTACTAGGATAGCTAATCCTAATGGCTTCTGCTTGGCTTTCAATACTGGCTTTTCTACTAACTAGTGGGATTTGGAGAGACTACTTTCCATTCATTTATCTCTTCATCCAGAAATATAGGACATATAGGTATTGTGGATTAAATAAAACTTGAAACATGTATCATAGTGAAAGTTAAGTATCCAGTAATTATTTGGAGGATAAAAACTGGAAAAAAAAGATATAACCAATGTTTAAGTACTCAAAATAACCACACATTTTGTCAAGGCTAGTACAGATAGTAGCGGTATGGACACTATTATAAGAATGTTTCTGTACCATGCCAAGAAGCTACTGGCCAATGGTAATGTCACTGCTATACTAATTCTTTTCCAGCCTTAATGTAAAATACTTGTCTAGAAGAACCAAGATTTGTCATTTCTTGCCTTTCTTTGAAATAACAGGATTCAAGAAAGAACCTACTCTTTGTGGTCAAACATGTGGAAGAATCGGGCTGACTACCTCAATCCTCTGTTTAGAGCTGACCACAGTCAGACCCAGGGGAGCCTTCATCTGCCGACAGCTCCATGCAACTTTACATATAAGTAAGTCAGTCTTTAGGAACTTGCCAGATGTGGTTTACAACTGTTAACAACTTAACATTCAGAGGCCAAAGTATATGAAATAAGAGCTTCAAGGCTTTGCTGGAGATAAAACCCACCAGAGAAGATGCTTGGCTATCTGATGGAGGCATTTCTGGCAATGCTGTTTTCTTTGTATTGCTCTACATGTGAAATTCCCTTTAGAAATTGATGCTTTATAATAAGGCCTTTCACAGTACAAGTTCCCATCATGGTAATTGAAGTGCAAAAAAGGAAGTGAAGGAGGAGAGAAAAATCAAGTCCTGTAGAAGTAGAATTTGAAGCACAAGTTTGGTGGAAATATCTGCCTATGGAAACCATTGATTTTAAGATGGTACTGGGTGGGAAGAGCATAGTGGCCTTCACAGGTTCTAGTGAAGATACTAAGTGTCTACTGCATGCTATCCATTGGATTCACTTCAGTCTTGTATCCAACATACTGTGTGTTCCATTCCTCAAGATGGTTTCAGTCCTAGTCACTCCAGTATTATTTCTCTGACAGCATAGCAGAATATTAATTTTATATAAAAATACCTGCATGGCTTATGCAAAATAGCTCTTTTAAGACTAATCAAGACATGCTGCAGTTACTTGTATCACAACTAATTCATCAATAGCCCATAACTAATGGTTAAAACTACTTTACTGCAGTTCAGGCACTGTTCTATGTGCTGGAGATAAATAAGGTACCTTGCCCTCGAGGCACTTTTTAATAGGCCTAAAGATACCCCTAGCATGACAATTTGTTCCATTTGCATTCCATAAAGCTTTATTGTCTAGGATAGATTTATTGAAAATGCATATGTCAGTTTCTATGCTTGTAATAAAGTCAAAGCTGTTGTAAGTTGAAAGGTCAGATATTCTTTGCAGCAGGAATTCTAACTATATAATCACAAATCCTTAAGTTCCAATGATAAAATTTGCTGCTTCAGTCTATTATAGAAAAACATATTATGTATGTTCTTACTATTAATATAAACTTACTCTTCCTAAGAGAAGTTAAATACCCTAGAAAAATCTATTAACCTGAAATTATTACTTTTAGTAGTTGCTTTTTCAAGCCTGTAACTGGCTGTTGGTTATTAATATCGTTGGGCTGTGATACTATAGCCAAGACTTGGGATTGTGGGTTTTCATACTGGGATATGTGCTATGCTTCCTTCCAGGTTTTGGAACGGGATGTATAACCGCTTTGAAAAGGGGCTGCAGCCTCGACAGTCTGTTACAGATTACCTCATGGCTGTGAAGGAGGAGTCCCAGCAGCTGGAGGAAGAACTGGAGTCCCTAGAAGAAGTAAGAGTCTTGCTATTGTTTATATTTTCCTCTGCCCATTTCTTGAGCATTACCTTGAGGAAGACTCTCAAGATCTCGAACATAAATGTAGCATGAGCCATTTTTAAGTCAGTGCGTCAACACCCAGACAACGAAACCCAAAGTTCAGTCATCTGTGTTACTTTCTGGCTCACTTCAGTTTGTAGAAATAATTCACTGGCCAGTAAATTTTATTTTTCCCATCACCATCTTTTCTTTTCTCTTAAATTTTTAAATTTTCTTTTAAAAAAACCCTCAAAACTCATGAAAATGTGAAAAGGCAAAATTAGATACATTCAGCTGAATTAAAACCTGCTGCTCCATTTTTAAAAATTACATATTAATACTGCACTGATATGTAAATAGCTGTGATTGGCTATATAATTTTCATTACTGGGCAGAGACATTGTGTTATGCATAAATGCATTTACTTGCTGTATTCATCTTCAGTGAGTATTATTCATTTTGCCCCATTCTTATTTTAACATTCACTTGCCCAAGGACTGGCTATAAATTCCTGGTGTTTGGAACCTGTACTTTCAAGTTAGAATCAATGTTTTAAATACAATGAGATGGGGCTGGAGATGGCTTTGTGGTTAAGAGTACTCCTCTAGAGAAGATCTGGATTTGGTTCTCAGTACCCAATAGTGGCTCACAACAGGCAACTACAGTTCCAGGGGATCTGATGTCTCTTCTAATCTCCAGACGTTGGATGCATGTGGGGTACAGACTTACATTCAGGCATCCAATGCTGTACATCACTGGGGAAGTAGCTCGAATTGTGTGCAGCAAGATCACTACTTTATAGTGAGTCCTAGTGCGCGAGCGCAGTGCCTTGCAATCCACATGGTCACGTGACCCACGTGACTGGAGGCAGTAGTAGAGCTGAGAGCTTGGACTGAAGAACAAACTGGGAGAACGGAAATGAGCAGCAGATTATAGTTTTGGAGGCCAATCTATTTTTCACAAACACATCCAGTTTTCTAAATCTTAGGATCCTGCTTCTTATAGCATTCTTTTGACTGAAAGTTTGTAAAGTTCAGAAACAAGATATATAAAATATCAAAAGTACCTTAATATTAAATGTTGCTTTATTTCTTTAAAATAGCTAAAGTTTTTTAGCCTAGTGTTCAAGATTATCCCATAATGCATCATAATCCCTTTCTGTTCTCATCTCCAGTGCTCCCCATTTAACTCACAGCATTTTCTGACAACTCCTGCCTTTGTGGCTTTCTAACCACTGCAAGGTCCAGGCCATGCGTTTTCAGTCTTGTTAAAGTACTTCCTGTGCTCTTTCCCTCAAAACCATCTTACCTTTCTGACATGACTACAAGAACTCTGCCCATGTGTTACAATCTTCAGGTGTGCTATGCCTGCATCTGGATTGTGTGTTCTTCCTATGGTCCAGCACAGCCCTTCTGCACTAAAACTAAAAACCCTTGGGAATGCTTCTGAATGTGTAATGCTTACTTTTCACACATTGCCCTACTTATATTAAAGGATACTGATGTAAAATGTATTTGGAACAGCCCACAATGATCTGGTGGAGGAACAGTATATGCATGTTTAAGAATGTAATTGAGCCCTAGAAGTAGTGAATTACTGATACTTGAACACAGGAAGACCAAAAAAGGGCATGTATCATACAAGACTTGACACAAAATGCAACTCTAGGGAGGAGGAGTTAAGTTGCATACTTTGAAAGGATACATGGTCTAGCACGTCCTATTTTGATGAGACAAATACCTCATTTTTACCTTACAAAGACATATTTAGGGGATGGAGAGGTAGCTCAGGAGATACCTGAGCACAGACAACTATCAGACCGACGTTCAATCCCTAGCACTCAAATGGCAGCTTACAATGGTCTGTAACTCTAATTCCAAGGGATCCAACAGCCACTTGTGACCTCCACAAGTACCAGGCACACACACATATGGTGTACAGACTCATGTACAAGCAAATATCTGTATACATAAAAAAATGAAAAAAAAAGTTTAGAGTTAATACGATGCAAATAGTTAATGTCAATTGTATAGTCATAAAAGTGTGGAGGACACTTCCAGGCAGTGTAACCGTATGTATTGTTCACACTGTAGACAATCTATCAAGGTGCTTACTACCATCCTTGTATTAGAGGTAAAGAAAGCAAGACTCTCAGTTAATTTTGTTGAAGTTCGTGACTTCAGGTTTTCACCTGACATAAGACTCTTGTCCTTAATGTTATCCTCAATATGCAAATATATATGTAAAAATAGATTGTGACTTTTCTTAAAGTTGTTATTTATTTTTTAGAGGCTGGAAAAAATTCAGAAAGTTCACTTCAATGGCACCAAAGTGAAGAGTAAACAAAGTGAACCCAGCAAACACTCGGGATTTTCTACCTCAGACAACAGCACAGCCAACACTCCTCAGGATTACAGTGGGAACATGAAGTCCTTCCCATCCAGGAGCCCTTCCCAGGGTGATGAAGATTCTGCTCTGATTCTAACCCAAGACAATTTAAAAAGCTCAGACCCCGATCTTTCAGTGAATAGTGATCAGGAGTCTGGGGTGGAGGATCTGAGCTGTCGATCTCCCAGTGGTGGTGAGCATGCACCCAGCGAAGACAGCGGCAAGGACCGGGACTCTGACGAAGCTGTGTTTCTCACTGCCTGAAGTTTCCCTTTGGAGGTTCAAAGTAAAAGACACAGAAACACTTTCAAATTAAGGGGAAAGTGCAATTCGTAGTAAAAATGTTGAGAAATGGCAAGTTCCATCCATAACTATAAAATTACAGCTGTGAAAATGGAAAAAAAAATGTTTGTTATCAATAGCCAGTTCTTTTATCAAATCATTCTTCCCAGAGGGCACGGGGCAGGAGCCAGCGGGGCTGTCAAGACCTTCCCACCAGCTCCCATCAGCTGCCCTCACATCATCATTAGGATAAGCTGCTCTGTATCACCAGTACTCTCCAGACCATGGCGTCTGATCCCCAGTATGTGCTCACTGAGTGTAATCTCCTCATCCTGGGTAGATAGTTCAAATTTGAGGGAGAGAAGGAAGTAATCTCTGGGGAATCTGACCACCGACACAAGTGGATAGTTCTACAGATTCCGAGCCTGTTGCAAAATGGTGAATGAGTACAAGTTTCAGATTTTGTAACCAGCCTCAGTCTATGATGCTCATCTGCATAGATGCCAGGTCTTCTGAGGGTCAGGATGTGTGGGAGTGACCTCAGGAGAGGAGGAGCCGCGCAAGCCATAGTAAGCTTATCAAAACATAATGGAGACTGATCCCCACTCCTGAGGCTCACGTTAGACTATGAAAATTATACTCACTACAGAGAAAGCATCGTCACCTAAGGCTGTCCAGACAGCTAGACAGTCTTCCCTGGCATAGCATGTCTCTGCTTATAAAGCCCTCCTCTCATACCTGTTGATGTTTGGACTTTGATTTCACTTCCAGATACAGCTTACATTCACAAACATTTGATATTTCCTTCTGCCTTTATCAATATTTAAAAATAAGTACTCAGAGTACCCTTTTCTGTCAAATAAATTTTTCCCCTATGGAGTATCTTCTGCTTCTCAAAAATGTGTATCTTTAACATGAATGTAGTACCTAGTAAAGCAGAAGCCTCACTCACTTTCTCCATCTCAAATCTGAATCCAGACATTAGCTCTTAGCAACCTTTCACTACTATTTCAGAGATTATATCTATCAAATCTGTGAGCCAGCACTAACTTGATTCCGAATTACAACACTGTAAACTCAGTAGGTCATAGTACTCAGTTGCAATGGAAAAGGTAAAGAACTAGGGAATTTGCTTATCATGTAGTTACTATCTGCTTATTGTGATACGACACCACAACCAAGGCAACTAGAATAAAGGATTTATTTGGGGCTTACAGTTTCAAAGGGTCAGAATCCACGACTATCATGGTGGAAGGCATGGCAGTAGCCAAGTAGGTGTGGCATTGGAGCAGTAGCTGACAGGTCACATCTCGAGACAAAACCAATAGGCAGTGAGAGCTAACTAGAAAAGGCATGGATTTTTTTGAACATTTAAAGGCAGCTCCCAGTAGCATACCCCTCCAACAAGGCCGCACCTCTTAATCCTTCCTAAACAGTTCTACCAACCCAGGAACAAAGCATTCAAATAGATGAGCCTTTGGGAGCCATTCTTCAAACTCCCAACACATCTGCTAAACACAGGGAATAAAGGTTACAGCACTTTTCATTTTACAAATTATATAGAAAATTAATTCTTCCTGTAACATTAGCTATATCTCATGACCATGGACTACTGAATGGTACTTCTGAAGAATCTGTTAAAATGCATTTAAATCAGGAGTTGAATTGAGCTTTTGATCTGAAAACGCTTAATGAAGAAATGTTGCTGTGTTTGAACATACTGTTCTTATTATTTGATTTTGCAATGTAAGTACATTCTAATAAATACATTTAATCTTAGTTTTTTATAACAGTAATTTAAAGTGTGAAAATTTTTATCAGATAATGTATTTAATTTTTTTGGAAATAGAAATACAATAAGAAAGGACAAGAGACTGAAAACCTAATATGAGTCATATACACACATCACATAATGTCATAGAATATAATAGTGTTCACATTTGAAGACAGAATGACTTTACCTGTAATATAAAAATATTGTTAATACAAAAATAAAGCAAGTGTAATTCCTTTAGATGTTAAATTGAGCATTTTCTGTCGGAAAGTTTCCCAATTAAACATAAGAATATTTACTCATTTCCCATAGTATATCTACTAGCTAATCAACACATGGGATATAGTGGGAATGGTTTTTACAGCTTTATAACATACATACATTCATTCTCATTCATTCCCCTTCAACCCTTTTCCCGGCCGCCCCCCCCCCCCCAGCATCTGACTATGTAGGCCTGGCTGACCTCAAACTCAGGGATCTGCCTGCTTTTGCCACCTGAGTGCTGGCATTAAAGGTGTGTGTCATCATGCCTGCCTGTTTGACACTTTTATAATACCTGCTTTTAGAAATACTCCTGCCTCTTTTTTTTTTAATAGTAGACAGTAGGTCAACAATAACAAAGAAAAAACATCATCTATGCCAAACTGGACTACATATTTGGAAAAACAGTATGTATATATTTTAATTTTTTACTTTATAATGTGGCACCTTTAACATCAGAGCCACGCATGTTTTGTTCCCTTCATCCTTTTACAAGATATAATTTAGGTATGTGTTCATGGAGTCTTTTTATTTTATTGTTTTTACAAATCAACACTGAAGGTACATAAGTGTTTACTGCAGCCTGTCTTTTCAGAGTCCCTGGATAAATCATGGTCAATTCAACTAAAAATCTCTAGTGCTACATATTCATTCTAAATGAAGCTTCAGTCATTAAGTGTTTTGTTAATTAAGGTAGCGTTTCAGAGAATACTTCAATATATAACTGGCTAAAGACATTACTTCCCAACACTTGAGTACTAAAGAATTTTGATCCTGTTTGAACAAGTCATTTGACAAAAAACAAAAAGCCAACCTCCCAGAAGCCTTCAGTGCTGAAGTGAGAGGAGCATGGAACAGCAGGCTTCAGGCCTTGCCCTTCACTTTGTTTGTAACAAGGGCCTTGTTTGCTGCCATTCTGCCCACTATATAAACTGGTCTGCAAAGCTTCCTGGAATGATTCTCTCATTCTCCCCTCCTGTGTAGGCATAATGGAATTACAGACCTTTTCAACCATGAGCCAGGTTTCTATATACGTCCTGAGGATTTGAACTCGGCTCCCTCATGTTTGCATAACACACTGAGCTCTGAGGCACCACCCCAGCCCAAGTTTTCATTCCTTAAGAGGTTGCAGGTGAGCTAGTAGATAAGAGTGCCTTCCTCATAGGCATGAAGCCCTGAGCTCAATCCCAAGCTCGACATGAACTGGGGTTGGTGATCCACGCTTAGGCTCCTAGTACTCAGGAGGTAGAGGATTGGAAGGACAAGGTCATCCTCGGCTACACTGACATTAGAGGGCAGCCTGGGTTAGAAATCTTGCCTTAGAATAGAAAGCACAAGTTTCATGTATTTCTCCTACAACAGAATCTTACTTGTCCTTCAATTTAAATATATAAACTGGTCTAACAACTTTTCTATATTTTGTTAATTTATTTTGAAGTTCTCAACCAACTTTGACTTTCCTAACTTAGTACTGCCACCTTTAAATATCCTTGACAAATTCTATCCTGGGTAGTCTAGAAATTCCTGTTCTCCTTCATAGTCTTCCATATTATACACTAAAGGAAGTCCGAGTATGTGCTTTGGTATTCATATCTGTAGCCAATTTTTGCAAAGAAGAAATATGGCCATATAATTACAACCATGTACCGTCTCCTGCAAATAACTCAAATTCACACTGGCATATTCACATATTCACCACAAGTAATAAACAGGTCTGAATTAGTTTGTCAACTTGTTAAGTGCAAGCTACTGTGATCAAATGTCTTGGTTTAATGTGTGTATTGTAAAGAGGCTCTCTGAACTTCTAAGGAAAAATTATGCTTCCTTAACTGACAATGAAACTTAGATAATACAAGTTTAAAGAAAAGTATGCCCTGGCCTGGGTGAGCTTTGTGTGTGTGTGTGTGTGTGTCCACACTTGCGTTGTCTCTTCTACAATGCTGAAGTGTGCAGCAGATGCTTAATAAAAAGGCCTGCAGTCTGCTAGTCTCCTGTTCTGGGACATCCCTGGTTTTTAAGAAAACAACCGAACCGTGACTGGCAAATTCTCCACTAACTACAGTGACTGCAGGGATGGTAAACACTTACACGGGGACACTCAGGAGAAGTCTCTGAATGCCCCTGAGTTGGTCACAAATGTGAAACATTACTCCATCTGTTATCTCACATCTGTATCAAGCTTACCCTTTGTCTGCCTGAGGATTAAAGAGCATACCCTTAACAACAGTGCCAGGAAGACAGGCAGTTATAATGGAGTGTAGCCAGCACTGGATCTTTACAGTTCACGTGAATACATCTTCCATGAACATGAAAAAATTTTTTCAATAAGAAAATATTTATGTTTTTCTTAAAATTCCATTACCAAAAATATGTGGAGTAAAAAAAAAAATGAAGTCAAGACAATCCATAATGTATGCAGGCTTTGGAATGACAGTCATGAGAGAAAACTGAGCAATTATGTGTTAGGTGTTTAGTGACTTAGAGCCTACCTTACCAACCTCAGATATGTAGTTATTCATTTTCTTCTTTAGTTCTGTGACACAATACAGAAACAAATTGCTGAATACATCTAAAAATTAGAAAATTAAATTCATTAAAAATTAAGACATTACTTGTTATTATAAAGCTTCTTAGGAAAAACTTTTAAAAAAAGGCTAAGTCAAAGTTACTATTTTTCTCTAGATTTGCCATTTCTTAACAAAAGGATTTACATTTGGAATATAAAAGGAATATCATTTAACCAAAACACATATATACTTTTTTTTTTTAAAGTTAGCATGAAACTCTGGATTGTACTGGTTTAAGTGAAATGCAGTTTTAAAAATAAGTTAAATATCTATTTATGAGATGAATGGCACCTGTCTGTAACCCTGTACTTAAGGAGGAGGAGCACAAGTTTGAGGCTAGGCTGGGCTACACAGTACGACCCTGTTCCAGAACAAAATAAAACCAATGTATTGACTTGTATTGCTCTCTGAATACATCTTTAGTCTGAAAGTGAAACTGTAAGGAAGTAGATTCTTCAGTCTTATTTACTGCAGGTATTACAGGTTGCTTTTTTGAGATGGCACCTTGGCAGGACTGCTGTTTCCTGACACTGAGTATCTGAAAACAAAATGCTCTGGACAGTTTCATCATCTAGAAAGAAAGGTGTGTGTGCATGTGTGTGTGTGTGTGCGTCATGCATGTGTATGTGTGGTGTCAGGAGATGTCAGATGACTTTCCCACAGCTGAAAATAGTTTCTGAAAGAAGGCTGACAGGAAAGGGATCTAATAACCACTCTTGATAAAGAAATGAGGCAGCTTCAAGTTAAAAGTAAAAATGTAAATCAGTAGTTTTATAAAATATTAAAAACTAGCTAGAATTACATGCATAGATGTTTAATCAGGAATAGCAGAGGAACTTAAATACAGGATTTGTCAACAATAAACATTTTTAGTGCAAATAGTGCAGAAAATTTTCTCAAATATAGCAGTCATTCTAATCTATACAAAATGAGTCTCAGGTGTATATACAATCTATAGTGCATCTGGATCTCAGCCATGGTCATGAAATGCCAATTCCTAAGTCATAAATAGAAAATCATGTGCTTAGGTTTGTGTCCCATTTCTTTCTTGGTGGTTCATGTTTTCAGGGAAATCTGAAATGAAAAAAAAAATTTAAAGATTTAAACAAATTTAAGATTATAAACACTCATTCCTTTATACTGTCTTCCTGTTAAGATATTGTAACTTGACTGGGAAGGAACTGGGTAAGGAAAAGATTTCAATGTGTTCCTTTCAATAATCTATTTCTACTTCTTGGGCTGCGAGTGAATACAAATAGTATAAAAATCAGCTCACTTTGCAAATTATGATATAACACGATTCAGAGGTGATAGTAATGGAATAAAAACTAGAGATAAGAAATGCCTATTACCTTGTCCCTTTTCAAAAGAATCCCCCATGCTCCTCCTTAAAGTCTGTCTACTCCTTCAGCCTGGATGGCTACATGCAGGTGATTCATCCATCTCTCCTAGGGATTTGTATTGCAACTCAAGACTCTCAGTAGACACCAGCTGCTGTGGTTGATGGTTGACTAAGAAACTGGGGCTGGTGACGTAGGTCAGTTCTAGAGTGCTTGTTGAACACTTGGAAAGCAATGGGTCTGATCCCAACACTACAAAAACAAAAATCAGACTGGATGCAGAAATGAGAAACCGCTAGCCTGAGAAGGATCTGTTTTGGTTACTGAGTGCCTTCCAGTATGTCTCAGTAACTGGGCTGTTCTTTCCTTACTTTGGCTCTATAGTAACTCTGTATTCTTCAGTAACAAGCTCTTATTTAGGTTTGTGATCGTTTGAAAGAGAAATAGCCCAGTAGGCCTGTGTAGGTGACCATTTGGTGCTGTCCTGGGAGTTGGTGCAGCCTTGCTTGTAAGTCACTATGGGTGGGCTTTGAGAGGTCATAGCACACATATTAATAGACTGCTCTCTGCTTCATGTCTATGGTTGAAGATGTCATCCCTTGGCTTCCTGCTCCAGCTGCCGGATGCTAAGCCTGCCTCACCATTATGGACTCTCCCTCACCAATCATAAACACAAGTAACTTCTTCCATCTATAAGATACCTTGGTCATGGTATTTTATCACAGCAAGAGAATACGGGG